AAATATTGTGTACCCTAATAAACTTATCTGGGGTCAGAGAACAGAACAGCCACTAGATATAGAGGCCAGAAAATAGTGGCACACACACCTTTAATCCTAGCATTCCAGAGGAAGAGATCCATCTCTGTGAATTCAAAGCTACACTGGAAACAGCCAGGCATGGTAACAAGAGCCTTTAATCCCAAGAAGTGATGGCAGAAAGCAGAAAGGTATTTAAGGGGTGAGGACCAGGAACTAGAGCTGGTTAAGCTTTTAAGCTTTTGAGCAGCAGTTCAGCTGAGATCCATTTGGATTAGGACTCAGAGGCTCTCAGTTTGAGGAAACAGGATCAACTGGTGAGGTGAGGAAGCTGTGGCTTGTTCTGCTTCTCTGATCTTCCAGCATTCACCCCAATAACTGGCCTTGGGTTTGTTTTTATTAATAAGACTCTTTAAGATTCATGCTACACACTACCAATAACAAGGCCTGGTGTGACATAAAGGTCCAGTTTTCTTCTTGAGAAAAGCATAGTTCTGCCAGATGGGCAAGACAGCAGGTGACAACTATTTGAAAAGGAAAATATTGATGTGTTGAGGGCTGGCCTGGTCAAACAAGGCCTTCTCTTTTACAAATTCTCACCCAGCTTTTGAAAAGTATAATTGACAAACAAATGTTTCATGGTTTTATGTACAGCATAATACACACACACACACACACATATATATATATATATACTGTTAAATGAGTGAATTAATGTAATCAATACAAATCTAATCTCATATATTCAAGAGAGAGCGTAAAGATGTACATTCAGTGAACTCAAACATCTAATATAGTAATATTACTTTAGTCAGCTTACTGTACTGTTTATTTTTAAATATATGGTTGTATATGCAAATAACAAATAGCTGTGGCATCCTGACTACATCAGAAATAATGTAAATGAGGAATTGAATAGTATTATTGTAAATAGCAGTCTACCATGTTCTGCAATTTATATCCCGTACTGCTATTTAATCTGATGATATAAAGCTTAGATGTCAAGCCCAAAGTACAAAGAAGACTGTCTTGTTTTCTCATCAGACCCAAGATGTGTAAGTGCTTGCCTTCTTTGCTACCTTTTGGTCTTGGATGCTGGTGTGGTTCAGGGGAGAGCATTCTAGAGAACAGCGCTGGACAGGGCCACAATCCCTATTTCCTGTATTATGAGTTTCCTGTATCATAAGTTAACCGCCCCCCCAACAAATTCCTATAATCATTCCGTGGATTGGTAGTGATTTAATTGCAACAGAGGTTAGCTGTGGTTGTTCTGTCTCTGATCTTTCAGAATTTACCCCAATAGCTGGCACTGAGTTTTTTATTAATAAGACCTTTTAAAAATTCATCTTACACCTAAATGCTAAATGTTAAAAGTGCAGAACTTCTGGAAGATACTAGAGAGATCAGGACTCTCTGAGTTTAGCAAGTCTGCCTTCCATAGCTACAAAAAGAGCAGTGGGCACCTCCATTTCACAGTGATCTCAACAACAAGGATATTTCTAAGTACAGTCCCCTCCTAATGCTCTGCATAGATGCAGCCCCAGGAATGAAGTTATTCAGAGGCAGCCACACTGGCCCAGGGAGTTGCAGGACAAGACATGATGATGCAGAACCATGCAGGATTAGAGAGGAGTCTGCCTCTGGCCAATAACTCCCACCCAGCCCTGGAGAGGACCCACCACACCAGTTCCAGTGGCTCAGCTGGCCACTTCTTCCTGTCTGGGGACATTGATCCCTCACTCACCATAGTGTGTCTGCTGAGCACACTTGCACTCTACCCACAATAGAACACGAGGTGCAGAATATGGGCCAACTTCTGGCTTCCTCAGCAGTGTAGCTGAGCCTGCAGAATGGGGCTAGAAGAGACCTCTCATCTTTTTTTTTTTTTTTTTTGACCCTCTCATCTGAGTTTGAGGTCATGACTGGCTAGTGAGTTCTGAGTGACACTAGTTCCCTTGGAGAAAGGGTGAGCTGAAGGGATGCAGCACAGTGGTTCTCAGGCCTGGCTTCCACCCTGAACAGAGACCTATCCCAAACTGGCTGGAGATTCGTACCAAATTTGATAATAAATCTCTTGTTAAAGTAAACCAATGGTTTCACTTTTAAAAGGAAGTATACAAATTCAAGAGGAGGCTAATCAATCTTGCACAAGAACACCGTGTAACTCAAAAACATAAAGCAAGGCCACAGTGGCCTTGGGGCTGATAACCACAGTGTGGAAAGAGTTAGGTTCTTAGGATCTGAAGCAACCCCTTCCCAAAGGCCCTAGCCCCAGACCACTACCAGTTCTCCTTTTAATGAAGGAGCTCTTTCTTTTTCTGTATACATCAGAGCCTTAGAGAAAGCTCTGTAGGCCTAGGCAGGTTTCCAAGCTCACTGAGGCCTAGTTTTTCTAGTATCTTCTAGAAATTGTGTACTTCGCATTTGACATTTAGGTTTAAGATCCATTTGAAGTTAATTTTGTGGAAGTTGTAAATGGCATCTCTTGTGCTGGGTAGTACTCCACTACTAAGGAACTGGAGCAGGCACCCTCTAACCAAAGGATGTTCCTGCCAGGGCAACAAGTAGACTGAGGGTGGATGCATACCTCTCCGTCTGTTCCCCTAGATCCAATCCTCCCAGTCTAATCCCTAGACCAGTAGCAGAAAATCTTCTGTATCTCCTTTTCCTCTTTGACCCATCCCAATGTATAACAAAGATCTCTCCAACCTTTCTTTTCCCCAACTCATCCTAATATCTCAGCCTCTTAACACCAGCAGGCATTCACTGGGAACACACAAGCTAAGCAGGCCAGGGGAACAGGTAAGCCAACTGAAGACTCTCTTCCCTTCCAGATGTAATCCCCCAGTCTCATCACTAGCACTGCATCAGAACCCCAGGTACAGCCTCCCCCACCCCCTATCCCCTCCTCCTGCCCACATTTCCTGTGGATCCCAGAGACCACCTCCATGTGACCTCCCTCACACCACTCATCAATTTACCCCAGCCCCCAACTCATGCAGCCACCACCTGCAGATCTTCTCTTCTCCCTCTGTCCCCCTAGATCCAACACCTCATCTCATCCCCAGCTCTGCAGCAGAACCTCTGTGGCAGCCTTCGCTGCCTATCTGTTGCTATCTCCTGTGGATCCCACAGATCTTCCCCTTATAACTTTCCTCTTCCTGATAATATGAGCGATGATGTAAAAGCTGCACCTTAGTGGATGATTTCTGATCCTGTTCTCTTCATTACATATTGCTTCTTAACATATGGTTAGCATCACATGTCTTTCCACCATTGTGACGACAGTCATCATGATGTATGGCATAGATGGCAGCACATAATAGCCTGGGAATTTTTATTTTTGATTCATTCTCCAAAATTGTTTAGACAAAGTCAATCTTAAATGTGAAAGGAGAGTCTTAGTCATGTGCACATGCTGGAAGTTTAGTCCCTGGAAATTTGCAATATGATATAAATTATTTAAATGCCAGTCCTTTCACATGTTCAAAGATGACACCATAGGTCCTAAAGAATTTTGTTAATAATGAAGATATATGCAATATCGCAAGTGGAGAAAGCTGGACAAGAGAAATGGTGCATAATGAATATAGGAATCTGGAATTTAGGTGTCCTAGTTCTGAAAAAATAATGTTAATTGCCACTTAACATAGTCACAAAAGTTTGCTCTTATCCCCTCTGCATGTCATAGGACTTTACAGGGAAATAGAGTCTATGATAAATGAAGCTAGAGGCAATTTGTGTGATATTTTGGTCCCAAACCTTTCTTACTATGCCCATGTCCTGAGAAATTGAGTAAGGAAGAATTAAAAAACAATGGGCTGAGTTCTTAGATGGAATTTTGAATCTCTTAGATGGCTATTACTGATGACTCATTCAGGACTACAGTGAAAAAAGCAACAAATGTGACAGAAATAAGTGAAAAGCTGTGGGTTGAAGGGAAAAACAGCACTAGGCAGTTCTCGATGGCAGTCAAATGCTGAACAGAGGCAGGAATTTTCCTGAAGATTATCACTATTAAAGTGAAGACCCTTGCTCTACATTGGTAGCCTAGCAAGGTGTCCTAAGGGTAAGAATCGATCCTTCTCTGCCCTCAGTTAAAGAAGGATAAGCAAAGTGATTCCTAGCCCCAGGAAACAACTTTATACAAAAACAACTGCAGCTATGGTTCAAGCATGGCTGAGTCCATCACAACTCTGAAGCCAATTTTGGGGGAATCATGAATATTGTAATTGTTCTGGAAACAAGAAAGATGCAGAATTCCAGGTCATGCATTCTTATTCTATGGTTTCAGTTCAGCATTGTTGTAGGAATCTGTGTTTGACAGAGTGAGAGCCTCAGTGAGGAGACTGTGAGAGTTAATTGCATGATGCTGTGAGGATGAAGTCTAGGTTGCATTTTAAGACCATAAGATTTTGAGATAGCCAAGCTATGAGATATCTGCCATGGAGAGCTGCATATACGGGGTGGAAGTAACCAAAGAGAGAGATGTGTGAGAAATTGCAGGGGTAGGGCCATCTAAGGCCTTTGAAACCAGATCCCCATGTACTTCTGGCTGTGCTGGAACTGATTGCATAAATGAGGCTAGCATTCAACTCAGGAAGACACACCTGCCTCTGCTTTCTGAGTGTTTGAATTAAAGACACGAGCCAGTACACTCAACTTTTCTTTTTTTGCAGCTAGTTATTTTTCATATAATTTCTCTCATGTGTATTCAATACTACTGATCTGCTTGCTTGTCTTTCTATGTCTGTTAATAGGCATTTCTCTTACAAGGCGGTATTCCCTTCAAACGGTGCAGAAATGATAGGAGAGTCTCCTATACAGTTTCTTTCTAAAGTGACTTGGTGATTACATTGTAACTTCTGTGTCATGGAATTAGGGTGTGAAGCATGAGAATTATATGACTGTATTTTCAAAGAAGTATACATTTACAATATTGTCAATATTGCTTTTTTATACACATGTATGGGATATTTTAGAATGCAGTGATGTATGATGATGTGCATGTTGACTTCACTCAAGAAGAGTGGGCTTTGCTGGATCCTTCTCAAAAGAGTCTCTACAAAGATGTGATGCTGGAAACCTACAGGAACCTCACTTCTATAGGTAAGACTGTGAATTTTCATTTTAATTTCACATTTTAAAATAAGGATGCAACTGTTTCTTGGTTAGTGATGCTCTTCTGTAATTACAAATGAGACCGAGGAAAGATGAGGTGAATAAATCAGGCATAGTTCTAAGATTTACTGAAGATAATAACTTAAATTTTGTACAATTTCCAAAAATACATTGTACATTTTCTACTACTATATTTTAGGCTACAAATGGAAAGATCATAATATTAAAGAACATTGTCAAAGTTCTAGAAGAAATGGAAGGCAATTTTAATGTGCATGCTAATACAAATAAACCTCTAAAGAAATTTTAATGTGTTTGGAAGTTATAAAGAAAGCAACCATATATATAAGCACAGATTAAAGTGTATTGGTGATTATTAAATTCTCACAAAACCATATATCTCAATATCAAGTAGGAGAATTGTGCTGCAAGGCATTATTTTAAGAAAGATGATAAAAAAAAACAATGCCTTAACAGATATCACCATTTAAATCATAGCCTCATGATAGCTACGCTGTAGAACTGCCAATCCATTTAGTTTTATACAACTCATATTACAAAAGGGATATACAATGAATAGGTGACGAGTGTGTGTCCAAAACCTTCTAATAAGCAAATATTCCAAAGTAAAGCTAGTACTACTCAGATAGTTGTTTGGACAATGCTAAGTTTAGTAAGATGGGTAGTTAGAGTCAAGAGCCAAGGGGGAGTTGTTGTGTAGAAACTTTACTCCCTATACCATATGTCTATGAGGAACAGAAAGTCAAACTCTGTGAATGCAATGTGGAAACCTTTTATTTGTTATTCTTCCTTTACTTAGTATATCATATGTTTCTCTGGATACAAACCATATGAACATTGGGATATCAGAAGAAGCAACATACCCCTCCCCTTCTGAGAATGATTAGAAGCTATGTAGTAGTCCCCACTTTGAATAGCCTTGCTGAATTTGATTCAAGTTTACAACCTTTTCCAGCTTCACTGGAAATACATCAACAAACTCACACTGCAGAAAAGCCCTATGAGTACTAGGAATGTCTAAATACTTCTGTTTGAATACAATATGTTTAGTAAAGCTCTGAGATTTGCCGGCTCTCTTCAAATATGTGGAAAATCTTATATGTTTAGTATTTAGTAAAAATACTAAAATGTGAAACATGTAATAAAGGCTCTTACTATTATAGGTATATCAAAGATTCAAAACAACTTTTAATGAAGGGGAATAACATGAGGGTAAACAAAATGATAAAACCTCTGATTCCTCTTTACAATTAGACCAAATTATAAAATAAATTTACACAGATATATTTAACAGTGAAATGAATGTGGTAAAGCATTCACATGTATCAAATATCATTGCAGGCATAAAAGAAATCATACTGAAGAGAAATATTCTGAATATACTCAAAGTGTTAATGCATATGCATATCATAATCATCTTCAAAGGAATGAAAGAATCCATACTGGAGAGAAACCCTATGAATGCAACCAATGTGGGAAAGCCTTTGAATGTCACAACCATCTTCAAATGCATAAAAGAACACATACTGGAGAGAAATCCTATGAATGTAATCAATGTGGGAAAGCCTTTTCACAAGAGAGTCATCTCCAAGTTCATAAAAGAATTCACACTGGAGAGAAACCCTGTAGATGTAATCAATATAGGAAAGCCTTTTCACAAAATGGTAATCTTTAAATACATAAAAGAACACATACTAGAGAGAAACCCTATGAATGTAATCAATGTCAGAAAGTCTTTGCATGTAACAGTAAACTCCAAATACATAAAAGAACTTATACTGGAGGGAAACCCTATGAATTTAAACAATGTAGGAAAGCCTTTGTACATCACTTCAGTATTTGAAATCCTGAGAAAAAAAATCATATTGCAGAGAAACCATAAAAATGTATTCATGGTGGTAGGGTTTTGCACTTCATGGTAGTCTTTATACAAGAGTAAAACTTTTACTGTGCAATCATTCTGTTAAAGCCTGTGCATATCACAATAGTCTTTGAAGACCTGAAAAAATTCATACTGAAGGTAATCTGGCTATAAAGGATTTGTTAAAATCTTTAGCCAACACATTTAACTTACATGAGAGTATGTATTCTGGAGGAAAAAAATCTGACAAAGTCAACAATCTGTTAAAGCAGTATAATGACTGTCCTTATTTTGTTTGTACCTGCCCTACAAATCTAAATGATAAAATAACCCTTTTAGATTTTAGACATCTCTTCAATGACATGGAATAACTAATTCATGTACAAAACTTATGGATGTGTATTTGTGCTTTTTCTGTTGTTGTGATTAAAACATAATATCCACATCAGTTTATGAAGTAGTTTAATTTGACTCTTTGTTCCAGAGGGATACAGGGTCACCATGAAAATGACCTGACGGGCTGGAGAGATGGCTCAGAGGTTAAGAGCACTGACTGCTCTTCCAGAGGTCCTGAGTTCAATTCCCAGAAACCACATGGTGGCTCACAACCATCTGTAACGAGATCTGATGCCCTCTTCTGGCCTGCAGTCATACATGCTGTATACATGATAAATAAATAAATCTTTAAAAAAATGGCCTGACAATAGCTGTCAGACATGCCAGCTATAGCAGGAGGCTAAGATCTCACATCTCCAGTCTACATCATGAAGCAGGGAATGGGAACAGGACATGATGTGCAGATGTAAATTATTAAAGCATACCCCCAGTGAAATATTTTCTCTAGCAGAGCAGCATTTCCTAAATCTTTCTAAATGATACCACCAACTGAGAAGTATTGATTTCTCTGATTTCAAGCCTACATGCTTGCTTTCTGTTACATGAACTTATTCATGATGAAGAAAAACTCTGTAGGTAAGTCTTTAGATTTCTTAACACTTTACAAAAGAAAAACTTTCTTAACAAAAGAAAAACTTTCATGAGTGAAAATTTGTTGAAGATTTTATTTAATTTTAACTATATGATGTGTGTTTGTCTTTGTATGGGTATGTGAATGTTCATGCTCGTTTTAAGATGGTTAGAGCCTTTAATGTTCTTATAGCAGGAATTGCAGGAAGTTTTCAAAAACCTTACCTTGGTGCTGGGTGTGAACTTTTCTTAACTTCTCAGCCATGTCTCTAGCTCTGTAAATATTTTAAAGCCTTTTTATATCAATGTGAAGTCAGGAAATATGGAAGAATTCATACAAGAGAAAAACTCTATTCATGTAAATGATTGGATAAAGACTATAGATATCACAGTTGTCTTCAGTTTCACGGAAAAGAATCTTAATCTGTTTCATCATAGACTTGAAGGTAGTAAATTACTTACCATGTTTACTAAAGACTGATGGTGGAGATCACTATATTGTGGTTTCTATTTTAAACATTTGAGGTAGCTATTAAAGTATGCTATACATACTTTATATGTTGCAAACCCATTTACTAAAGTTTATTTTGTGATCCTTATATTCCTTCTGTGGTTTCGTTCATCTTCTATTGTGCTTTTATTTAGTGATAGATATTATTCTGCTGCAATGTCTAGAATGGAATGGCCAGCATCTAAGTGGTTCATTGTTTATGTAAATATCAGGCAGTGTGTAATCATACTTTTCAAGGAAGGGTGTCTGTGAAAGGGTGGTAGTTTTTTTCTGGTTTTCTTTTTCACATTTTCATAAATTACCTTGAGATGTTGTTTGTTATCCAGCCTGACTTGGATGTCAGTAGTTAGTCAGGGATATCTTTGAACTCATGATCCTCATTTGTTAGCCTCCTGAGTACAGTCTAAGGGTAGATGATGTATCCTTGATGTGTGCTGTTTTATTAAAAATAAAAATTTAATATATTAAAATGCTTAAGTAGAAGAGAATATAAGAAACAGTACATACTTCATCTGTGTATCCAAAGCAGCATTTTCATATATCTGGTAGAGATGTAATAATGTAGGATAATGAGCAATCACCTATTGGTGAAATTATTAAGGCCACTTCACGTAGTTAAAAGGGAGATTTATTTCATAATATTATTTTAAGTTCTATGGATATGTATATGTTATTTGCAGTTAAATGTGTATTCATTTCCCCATTAGTTATCTGTTTGGCACTTCATCTTGAAGTACTGCATTCTAAGGGAATTATCCAGAGATGCCAAATAATGTAATAGCAATGAGATTTATTTTTAAAAAAATTCTGGTATTTGCATGTAATATGATTGTGTTTTTTTAGGTCATGGCAGATATGCGGAGACCAGGAGACAACTTTTTGGGGTCTGCTTTTTTCCTTGATCATATGGTAATCCAGATGAGGTTGCCAGTCTCACAAACCCCAGACATTTCGCACTGAGCTGTCTCATTGATACTCAAATATGATTAGTTGAAACTTTATATTACTAAAATACTGTCTTCTTTTCAGAGTGTAACATTTTCCTTCAAGGATAGAGTAAAACAGGATAATTTGAATAATAGATCCTATTTGCAAATAAATATTTTGTACTGCTATCACTTTTTTGGAATGTGTTAGTTTATTCTAAGACTAAACTGTCTTTCATAACACTTTCTCAGAATCATAAATGATTGCCAGAGAATTGTCTCAGTAGGTAAAGTTAGTTGCTGCAAAGCCTGATGACCTGAGTTCAATTTCTGGGAGACACATATTATAACTCCTACAAGTTTTTGTCTCATTTCTACACGTGGGTTGTGGCATATGCACACTTGCACACCAGCACATACATGAATAATATTTTAACCCAAGTAAGTGCCATTAAGTTCACTTGCAACCAGATGACTCCCTGGGTCTCATCTCTAGAAGTCACACAAGAGAAGTAAATAATAGACACCTTTACATTTTCCTCTCACTCCCACATTCACAACACGGCCCAGGTAAGAACACAAATATAGTTCAAACATTTTTTTTTTTTAAAAAAGATTTATTTTATTTATCATGTACACAGTGTTCTGTCTGCATGTACCCCTGCCGGCCAGAAGATGGCACTAGATCTCATTCTAGATGGTTGTGAGCCACCATGTGGTTGCTGGAAATTGAACTCGGGACCTCTGGAAGAGCAGCCAGTGCTCTTAACCTCTGAGCCATCTCTCCAGCCCCAGTTCAAACATTTTTAAATGGATGAAATTAACAAGGGAAATAAGCCAATTATTGAGAACATATGAAATGATTTGCCAGTTTAAAATATAATTATAGAATTTCACAAAGTATTACTGCCCATCAAAACATTACTGGTTCCCTTTAAAATCATATTTTATTCATTAATTCTCTGACTCAAAGATAGGTCATTTAAAAAACATATCTCAGCTGGACTAAGAGGTGCATGCCTGTAACCCAGTGCTTATATTGGGTTGATCTCTCTAAATTTGAGGTCAGTGTGGTGCACATAGTGAGTTCCAGGACAACCATGGCTATGTAGAGATATCCTGCCTGAAAAAAATCCCAAAAAGAAAAGCATGTCTCAAATTAAAAATTTTCCTAATATCTGACTGGACTCTGACTGGTTTCAGCAAAACCTTTTGTCATCTTTATTCACATTCAGAGAACTGTGTTAACAATAAAAATATAAAGGTATGTGAAGAGTCCATTCAGAGATAAAGAAAGCCATTAAATCCTTTCATAACCATCTAGTGGGGACTTTAAACATGTTCAAGTGATAGGAGATAGAAAGAGTAATGGAGCATTTTCATCATCTGAATTATAATGACATATTTGGGAGCTGGAGAGTTTGCTCAGTAGTATGGCTCCTGTTGAGTACCCAAGTTTGGTTCCTAGCACCCATATCAGATAGCTCAGAACTACCTGTAATTCCAAGTCTAGGAGATCTGATACATCTTCTGGCCTTCTAAAGTACCAGATATGGAAATGTTGAAAAGGCAGATATATATTTGTGATTCCACATTGCTGAAAGGTTTTTGTCAGGTATATGTTATTTTTTAAAAAAGAATTAAAATTAAGTTAGGGGTATAAGTCTTGCCATCGTGCATAACAAATGAATGTCAGGTACAAGGGGAGACCAAAAGATGGTGCCAGATGCTCCATGACTGAAGTTACAGAGAGTTATGAGCTATCTTTTAGGAGCTTGGAATCATAGCCAGGCCCTGTGGGTGAGTAGCAATTGTTGTCAGATGCTGAGCAATCTATTCAGCACCTCCGAATATGACATTAATGGCAGTAAGATGTGAATGACTGATCCTATGTTCATCTTTACCTTGGCCCTGAAGACCTGGAAGACTGATAGCATCAGAAACAAACTTAGACTTGGTGCTTAAAGATCTCTCCAAAATGGGGAAAGAGCATAAAAAATGATCAGGCAAGAAAAAAATGACTGATCACTTGACTAAAACCACAAAACTGAGTTAATCTCAAATGCATTAAATAGGCAGCAATGGGAGCCCAGAAAGACATGTCAGGTGTACTCTGCTGGAGTTTATGCTTCCTGTAAGGAAAGAAAAGAACTTGGAGGCATGAAGACTTACCTGTCTGAGGGCATCATATTTTGCTTCCTTGATGCCTTCAAAAGCTTCAGTTAGGAGCCCTTGAGTGATGGTGACTCTAGATGACATACAGATTATCAGATCCTGAGACAAACAGAAGTCACTCTAAGGCAGGGGCATCAGGCATTTACAAAGAGATGTTCAGTATGGATGATCTGTTAAGAGATGGTGCTTTGGGCTGGGCGGTAGTGGCACACCACCTTTAATCCCAGCATTTGGGAGGCAGAGGCAGGTGGATCTTTGTGAGTTCAAGGCCAGCTTGGTCTACAGAGCGAGATCCAGGAAAGGTGCAAAGCTACACAGAGGAGCCCTGTCTCGAAAATCCAAAGAAAGAGGGAGGGAGGGAGGGAGGGAGGGAGGGA